ATATTTTAATGTTAGTAACTCTGTTACGTTAGCCTTATGTATTATGTTCAAAGTTTGTAAAATTTTAAAGTAATTCAAACATCAGTTGGATTACAAGACGAGCCAAAAAATTAAATTCATGCTTTACTAATGGATATAAAAATATATTACAAGTGTAGGCTGTCAGTATGGAGCTCTATACAAAATATCGTACTAATCTCTTGTAATGGTTATTCTAAAAGAACACATGAAAACATTTCTTCTATAAAAATAATTTTCAAGCTTACGAAGAAACTTCCCAAAATGTTTAATCATTTTAAAGACGAGACTATGTCTATAATGTCGATGCTAATGAGTTATGAATACTCTGAAAAGAGTCTGAGTTATTAGTTTATTGCTGCAGAGATATTGTAGCAACACGCCATTTTTTAATGTAATGCCATAATCCCTCTGAATACCAAGGAAACTGATTTTCGGATTCAGATTAGAAACTTTGTACACAGGCAGACCTAACGAGAATAATTTATTGTGAAATTTTCAAATCTTTTGATTCGTTTCTACTCTGAAATAAAAAGATCGAATCTGCTAGCACATATGACTGATGTAAAAAACGAAGCTTTTACCATAGTCGTATCTAAGATCATGAACAACGGAAAGATACGAAACTTTCACGGTAAACGATTCTTAGTAAGATCCGTCTATAAGCAAAGTTACAAATCAATATTCGAAAGTCATTTTTCCTAATATTCCTGAGGAAGCCACTGGTTTGATTTAAAAATAACGTATTGCTGCAGTACTTCTCCAGTAATAACCTAAGGGCACGAACTCTTTTCAAGATACTCATAGCTCATTTGGACCTACATTATAGACGTAGCCTCGTCTCAAAAGCGATTAATCAGTTAGAGAAGTTCCCTCATTAGCCGATATTTTCCTAAGATTAAAGAATTTTTTCAAGTTCATATAGTAGTTGCAAGAAGTCTCGCCACTGGGTAAAAAAGTATATAAACTTCAATCTTTTTGCCTAATATTTTGACTTGAAATAAAGCTCAATAAATCCTGATCACAAGCAGCAATCTGAGGTCGATGTAGATCTTAATATAAAGAATCTACGATGAAAACACTGATTTTCCACTATTAAAATACGTTAACCTTCATTTTCTTATTAACAAATAAAGATTTTCATGTCTATATTTTGTCACAGGTAGTATACTTCCATTCGCTGTAATCTTGAGGCGTAGGAAGGCTTCCATTGTCTGGGACGATTCCACCATGAATCTCTTCTTCATTTATAACTGCGATCGTGAAGTTTTCAGGATAAATGGTTAAAATTAGCCAGAGATATCGGTCGCTTTTTGACGATTTCCATCAACTGTCTTGTAGAGTTTACTAAAAGAATACTTTATAAATCGGGCAAACTAAAACTATTTGACATGGAAATTTTATTGATGATAGACGCAGCACTGATCTATCGAATAAGGAGTCTAACATCATGAGATTTATTTTCTATGTTGAGTTATGCTCGTCTGAAGAAAAAAAAACCTATGTTGATCTTCTAGCTCCTCCGTATGAAGGTCGATCAGAGTTCAACATGCTCTATTTGTGGTCTAACTATAAGACTAGAGGATTAAAGCTTATACACATTTTACAATCACTGTATGTCATGCTTCAATTGAAGTTCTTATTTAGCTTTGCACAATCTGATGCATGTATATTAATCCAAAAGCATTTAACCAGAATAGCTTTTTTTATTAATGGTTTATTGTTTTTTTTTGACATCTCATTCGTGATATATTCATAGGTTGCTCAAGAAAAACAAACCCATGAAACAAGCAAACAAAAAAAAAATACAATCAAACCAAAAAATGCAAACATATGGAGATAGAAATAAATACACAGGAATAATTAAGAGAACCAAAAAGAAGATTCACAGCGATGCTTTTTATTTCTCTTGTTTTTTTTTTATGCTTTAAAGATTATCTTTGATCGCCAAAAAAATGGACAAATATAGGATAAATTCAAACGAAACGAAAAAAAAATACATCATTCATGAAAACAATGGGAATAAGAAAGGAAAAAAACAAATTGCATTATCTTTTATTTTACATAGTTTTAAATCCAGTACGTGTCCGTTTATAATAACGTTGTGCTAATGAATTAATAATTGATGCAATAAAATATATAATCATTCCAGCAACAAATATATTAAAAATTCTTGTTAATGTTGAAATTTTTGTCACATGACCAGTTAAATTTTCACCTGGTTTTCTATGCATTTTACCTTTTTGCTCAAGTAACCAGTCTTTAAATGGTGTTTGTAATAATTTACCGTAATGTGGTATATGTTTCATCCAACGTATAATACGTTCAACATGATGTTCACTAAATAAAAATATAATAAATACTGTTTGAATACTCATTTTAACTAATGCTTTTCCAATAATAGTTGCTAAAAAGAATGTCCAAAATGATATAAGAAAATAACCACATGTTATACCAGCTAAATCAAATAATGGATTTGGAATGCTTGCACATAAAAGTATGCCTAGAAAACCTATACGTTTTATAAGACGATAAACCAAATAACGAACACGTTCAAATAATGTTAAATTTCTTGAACTATGTAATTCAGCATTAATAACTAATGCTTCAAATTCAATTAATTCTTCATCATCATTACAATCATTTGTACCTAAACGTGCTGCACGTGCCATAAAATATGGTGGTAATTCACCAAATGCTGTACCTAAACCCCAAAAAAATGCTTCTAATTTAACTTTCCATAAAATTTTCCAAAATGATATTGGTCCTGTTTCTAATAAATCATTTAAAATTGTTTCATTATCATTTGTTATTATATGTGCTGTTGTTGTACTTATTGGTGATGGACAAACAATTTCATTTGGATATGGTGGACGAGGAAATTTAATTGAACCACATTCATATGCAGCTAATGTAACTTGAGCTATAAATGGACCAAGATAAAGAAGAAATGTATGTAAACCTGTACCAAGTCCAACGGATGATGCTACACCAAGACCAAACCAATACAATGTCCAAAGAAATAAATTTTCAATTTTTTCAATACTTGATTGATGTGAACCTTCAGTATTATACATAAATGTAAGAAATAGAAATAAAATAATTGATGTAAATAAAGTTTTACGATATGATACGAAACGTTTAAAATTATGATGAAAAAGATAAATTAATTCAAGTATGCAATAATTTATTGTACGTATTGGATGTCTCCATAAAACAATTTTATTTGTTTCATGACGTAACATTTCTTGTTGAGACTTTTTTAATGCTAATAAATGTTCTTTTTCTACGAGGTTTTTAGATGATGATGATGATGATGATGTTAATTTACTAAAATAAAATCAATTATTAAAATAAAAAACAAAAACAAAAATATCAAAAGATAATTTAATTTAACTTACGAATTTGTTATTGCAGATGATTTTTGTTGTTTACCTTTGCGTCGGCGACTTGTTGACGACGACGAAGCCATTGTTGAATGTGACTCGATACCTGCTTTGAAATTCATTCATAAGAATATATTGTTTTAATAGTATAAATCATGTATTTAATCCAGTGAAATTTGTACAAAAAAAACAAACAAAACAATGTAACTATGCTTTGAATAAATGAACAATAATATGTAATCTATTAGAATGGAAAAAATAGTTTAATGTTTGGTAATATCTATGTGAGGTATCTTTGATGTAGTTAATTATACTATCCGCGAGTCTATTGAGTTATTTTTTTTTGTATGAGCTCAACAATATTCGAATTAGTAGTTGTTATGGATGGCTGTTCGATTAACTCGAGACCCACGACTCATGAAGAAAAGTCGAGATCTATTCTAATAGCAGCAGAATAATCATATTTTTCTCAACTAATTAATTTCAGATGTATTTCACTAAATCACGTGAAAAAAAATAATACTAGATAATTTGACTAGATTCATGCTATTCATTAGCTTATTGTCAATATCGAAACAATGTAAAGGTCACATAGTTTGTCTTTTCTAATGCCTAATTCAAACAAACGCTAATAATTATTTGTACTGACGTCTAATTATACATGATTTTAACTCAATATTGTTACCCTCGAAAAACGTAAAGTTACAATGTTTAAATTAGCATTAATTTTATAACCGTTAGTTTCGAAAACAAGAGGACAAATTTAAAGAAAATTAGTTACATATAATCTAATCTTATTCGAAGTGATAATAAGTAAAAAAAAAATTATATTTCGAATGTTATAAAGGCGTTGGTGAGAATCAAAGCATAAGAATTACTCCTAACAAATTCTGGTCACATCTTCGTTGGATTTGAATAAGCATTTTATGGCTGGTGTTTTTTTTTTGAATAAATCTAAAATAAGAACACTAATTATAGAAAATATACATGTGATAAGAAATATAACTATTCCTATAATTCCACATTATCATCTGTCTTAATTGATATGAATCAATAAGACGAACGGAACAAATCCCAAAAGATGATAAATACGTCATATAATATATTGGGCAGAAAGGCAAATATCTAAGTGTTTTTACGTAGCAGGCAAACAAATTCATGTTTGGTTGAACGAATTCACCAGTTAAATATTCGATCGATATTCATTAGAATTTTCTTTCAATGAAAAAAAAATTCAATAAAAAGATCAAATAAATCATTCAAATTAAAAACAACAAATTCTTTGTTATTTGTTTTTTTCGTCATTTATTTATTTCTCTATTGCCATCTATCGTTAGACAACAACAATGGATGATATGTCAATTCATCATACTGAATTTATTCCACATGATATTCTCAACATCATACAAATAAGAAAACAATTTATTTTATATATTACTCATCGTTTACAGTATCAAGAATATTGTCTGACAATATAAAAACCTTCATAAGTCAACCATGAAGAAAAAGGAAAAGCGTGCACTGATGCATAACCATTATTTTAAATATAACTTAGATATATTCATTATCATTATATAAACATAAAAACGAATAAATATGAAATTCGTTATAAACACTGAAGATTTTTCATCAAGATTTGTTGTTCTTGATGAAGAAGGTTTAGAACGTTATTCAGTTAAAAATGAAATGGATTCATTTATGAGAAAATTAACAATATTTGATCTTGGTATATATTATATTTATTTAATTTTGTTATCATAGATAATTATTTGTTTTTTTTTAGCTGATGATATTGTATGTACGGTCGAAAAAAAATTTTTTACAATACGCCCAACGTATGCTGTTTATAATAAACATCAACAATTAGTTTTAAATATACGTAAAAAATTAAATTTATTACATCCGGAATTTACAATTGTATCTGAACTTGATGAAGTTAAATTTCATACTATTGGAGATTTTTTTGGTTCAAATTTTTCAATAACAACTGATGATGAAGAAGAAATTATAGCGAAAATTGTACGCAATAATGGTTATACAATTGAAGTTCTCAATGACGAACATGACGTTTCAGCTTTAATTGCTATTGTTCTTTCAATACATTTATGTTGTCATCATACGAAAGATGAATAAAAATAAAAATAAAAATAAAAAAAAAAAAAAAAATTATTATTTTAGATAATAATGTCATTTTCAGAAGAATCAACTAAATTTGCTCGAGATCAAGTTCAATGGTTACTTGAAAATCAATGTCGAATACCAATTCGTTCAATAACACCAATTAGTTTTTATTATAAAACATCAGATACATTAATTGATGAAGCTGATTTTTATTATAGAAATAATCAATTAGAACAAAGTTTTATTCTTTATTCAAGATATATTACGTATGCTCGATGAAATAATTTGAGATGTCAAAATGAATAGAGATTTTTATTTTTAGATTATTTGTAGAAGAACTTAAATTACATCATCCAGGTTATGCGACTGTTTCTGTAAATGATCGTGAACGTGTTAAAGAAGTAAACTTTTACATTGTTTTTCTTTTTGGTTTTTTTTTGGACCTAAATATTAATAGATTATTCGATCAAAAGCTTTACCACGTGCAGAAGAATTAAAAGAAAAATTAAAAGAAAAATATGCACGTGAACATGAAGAAAAACAAGTATTTAGTGAAAAAAAAAAACGAAATTTTGATTTGATATTGTTGATTCTTTTTTTTTTTATAGAAAGCAATACCAGAAGAAGAAAATGCGAACATTTCAGCTGCAGCATTGAGTAAACCATCGACTAAGTAAGAATAATTTGATTTCTTTATACGTAATAGATTTAAATAATGAATAAAAAATTTTCATTTAAAAAAAAAAGAGCATCAAACTTTTTTTTTTCTATACCACTTTCGAAGAGTTATATCGACTTTTTTTCTTTCGAATGAAATATACATTCGTAATTAATTGTCAGTATGTGAACAAAAAGAAAAATGCTGTTGAATTTAAAAAGAGTAGTCGCGTTTGCATTATTTACTTGAAACAATCTGTCATCAAAAAAAAAAAAGATGGATGAAGGAAGATGTGTACTGCTTTATCGATTTGTAAATTTATCTTATGGGTGGGTGCACATAGATTTTTGTCAGGAAACGAACAGTTCAAAATGTTAAATTCTAAATGAACTTCCTTCTGGCATTTTAATTATTATACAAGGTATCTGAAAAATCATCTATCTAAAAGAAAACTATATATCTTCACTGCGATTATACCGAATCAAGTGCTTTTTTGTTTTTATTCTTTTAATAGAGAAGACTTGCAAGTTTTTATTCACAAAGCTTAAGTTTATAAATACTCCTGGAAACTATAACTTTCGAATCTAATACATAAAAAAATCCCTGTTCTTCTCTTATTTTATAAGTATCTGTCTGACATAGAGATATTAGTCTCAAGTCTGATGACCGTAAAAATTCTAAAATTGTGTCAGTTTTATCAATTTATTTTTTGTCAAAGTTTTTAATGAGAAAGAAACGAATTACTTTGAAGAAATGCACTAGTTATTTAAGGTTTTTCCAAAAAGTGTCATACAAATATTTATAACATAAGAGTAGAACATCTGAATTGCGAAAAGTCCACAATAACGAAAAATATGGAAAGAATTTAGAAGAAAACATTGCCTTTTATTTTTCGAAACTCGAAAAAAAAGCAACTTTTTATGTATTAGATTCGAAAGTTATAATTTTCAATAGTATTTATAAACTTTAACTTTATGAATAAAAACTTATGAATCTTGTCTATTACAAGCAAAAATCCTCTTGATTTAGTTTAACCGCAGTGGAAATGTATAGTTTACGTTTTGTTAGTTGATTTTCCGGACATTGAAGAAGAAAATCTTCATATAAAGCTTATTAGACTAATAAAAGTCAACTATTGCAAATCTTGGACAAAGTTCTTTTGAATATCATATTCAATAAGTCTTTGAAATTAAAACAATTTATCTTTTTGTTTTTGTGTATAGTTTTCATAATGAAAATGAACAAACACTTGAACAACTCAAAAGTAATTATGCACGAGTACCACCACCAGCACACGTCGCTTTATTTACTGTTCCACCGACAGATAGTGGTTTAGTACAAATCAATAAAGAACCTGCCAAGTAAATTCTAATTTTTTTTTTTCTAAATTTCTTTTATTATTATTTGTTTGCTTGTTATTCAAGACCTACTTTTGATCGTTCACAAAAGCCAATATTGAGTATGTTTAACTTTTTTTTTCTACTGTTTGATATATTGAATTTTATTTTTTGAATAGACTCGACAAATACGAGTATGACAACACTTCGTCGAATTGCTATTCCATGTGATATCACACCTAAATTTCTTCAAGTCGCACAGCGAAATACAGGTTCAATACAAATGTAATTTTCTAAACAATTTTCTATTTCTAATTCATTAATAGATCGAAAAATTGAAACTTGTGGTATCCTTGCCGGTAGCAAGGTTTGTTTTATTTAATATATTTCGTTCTTATTTATTAACTTTTTTCTTTTTTAGAGAGATAATCACTATATAATAACACATGTTGTTGTACCAAAACAGAATGGCGGACCAGGTAAAATATTTCTTTTATTCTATATGTGTGATCATTGTTATCAACGAATGCTAATCTCCCAACAAGTTTAGACATCTTTTCCTGGACGGTATGTGAAGTATAAACATTTCATTTCTCTTTACTAAAATGTAACCTTAACTCTGCTCTATCTACAATATGAAATTGAAGTATTAGTTCTTAATTGTTTCTGAAATATATCTATTTTATGATCGAGCGTCACTTTTGAAGTGTGAAGCCCACTTCTAGAGAAAGTCAAAACTCAACTGAGAAATGTTATTTTCACCTCAAAGTTGTACTAGATATTCTAGAATCTGTTCTGATTATTTACACAGAGTATGGAGCGGCTTCTAGAATTTATTTAAACCACCGGATTTATCTGAACTTATTCTATTGATAGTATATAATGCATTTCAACTGTATCAAAACAGAACTATGTTTCTGAAAAATTATCGTTCCTCCTCGGCTAGGTGTCTCCCTTCGCCCTAGTTTCTTTCGTTTGTTGATAATATATACAACGGGATTTATAGGAAATTCACAGAAAAATAAATTTCGAAAACTTCTGAAAGATTTTATATTCATCTTAATTCCGAGTCATTTCATTTACTTTGCATTTTTTTCGCATCTAATAGCATATTTAAGATCACTTGACAAAACTACACTACCATATCTCGATATTTTTCTTACGTTCACGAGTTATTCAAACATCTTTGAAAAAGCGTACAAAATTCTGTACACTAATCTTCCAAAGGATTAGCAAAAAAAACACTTTTATTCATTGGTTTTTATTTTTCTAGATTCATGTGATACAGAAAAAGAAGAAGAAATGGTTGAATATGTTGCTAATAATAATTTAATTACACTTGGCTGGATTCATGTATATTGAAAATTTAAATATATGGTTTATTATCTATTTATTTTTTTCTTTTTAGACACATCCAACACAAACTGCATTTTTATCAAGTGTTGATCTTCATACACATTTACCATATCAAATGTTAATGCAAGAAGCTATTGCTATTGTTATTAGTCCTAAATATAACGAGTAAAAACAATTTCTTTCTTTTTTTCTAATCAATTAACCTTGTTTGTATGTGCATGTATTTTTTAAGAACTGCAATTTTTACACTTACACCAGATACAGGTATTCCGGTAATATCAACATGTAAAAAGACAGGTTTTCATGAACATATCAATAATCCACCATTATTTTTGGTAATTATATTAAAAGAAATATGTTTTAATGATATAATGAAAACGAATCTATTTTTTTTTTCATAGCCTGCATCACATACAACTTATGATCCTGGTCTACAATGTCAAATTGTTGATCTTCGCAATTAATGACGTTTCTTTATTTTTTTTTTTTTTGATTGACGAGAATGTAATTGATTTCTTTTTTGTTGTCTTTTTTTTTCTTCTGTTATTTCTTTTTCTTTTTTGCTTCGTTTATTTTTACACCCTAGTTAAACGAATCCTTTATTATTCAGTGTCTTATTCTAAGCTTCGTCTCTATAGATAAATAACTACAAACAAATATATTGAATGATGCATTTTCTATTTTTTTCTTTTGATGATTATTATTACTGTATTTTCTTTGTAATTTAAAAGATACAATGAAAAGTTTAATAGTTGTATGATCAAGTTTATATGTAAAACTAGATTGAAAGATAAATATTATATGAATAAATGTCAGATTATTTCAATATATTTATACATAAATTTATATATGAATACCATAGGCGGCGGAAGCTGGAGGCTGGGTGAGTCATGAGCCTCACCAGAATTTGGCACTGTTCGGCTTAGTATCACCTGTTTTCGACACTATTAGGCTCTGAGCCTCACCCAAATTTGACTTTGAGTCTCATCCGATTTGAAAACGTTCCGCCACCCTTGATGAATACTTATGAACCTATTTTGATTGATTATTATTCTTTTATGTTGAAAAACTTTGATGAGAACTCTGTTACATCCAATATAAATATTATATATATCTTACTGTATATAATCATTCTAGATTTCTTTTTTATAATTTAATAAATGGTTCGTTGTTCAATTAAACGTTTAATTAAAACAATAATTTTTCTTGTAATTTTAATAGTAATATTGAAAAATTTACTTTCATATTCTCGGGAATCTCATGTAAATAAATTTGAATTCAAACAAAAATCGTCAGTTATTTTTATTCTTTCATCATATCATTCGAAAAATATTCAACGTTTAATTTTATTTTTAAATGAACTGCGTTTATCATATATTGAATATAAAAACATTGATGAAAAATTCTATCATGATTTAATAAATCATATTCCATCAATGATTATACTTGATCATATACCAAATAGTAATTTTTACAATTTTATCAATCAATATCAAATTAATTTATTAATACATTTAAATCATAAATGTCAAAATTGTATATCAATAAAATATTCTCAAATGTTATTTGAAAATATTAGTTATCCAACAATTGATTTTAATCGAGAGAAATTAAAACCAATTATTCATACAACACAAAGTCCATTTAAAATTGAACAATCAAATCAAATTATTAAATTGTTACATTTTGAAAAAATTTTACCCTATTTTTCTTATTATCATGAACTTAATAATCGATGTATTAGTCTTCCAATAAACAAAAATAATTTAACAAATACAATTATCTATGTAGAAAATAAAATAACATTGGAGAAAATTAATTTAATGATTATATCAAAAGAAAAACAAATTTATTTATCTGAATGTCTTTATCATCATTGGTTTATTTGGCCATTAATGATGGATATATTTAGATATTTAACTTCAAATGTATATAATTATTATGGATTAAATCGATATATTCAAATTGATATTGATGATATTTTTTTAGGAAGTAAATCTCATGATCGTTTAAAATCAGATGATATTCAAGCATTAATTCATTCACAATCATTTATTCAAAATTATATATCAAATTTTCGTTATCGACTTGGATTTTCTGGTTATTATTATAATTCAGGGAATGATGAAGAAAATCAAGGTGATCGTTTATTGATTAGTAAGTATTATTTCTTTTCTTTTTTTTTTATTCTTTTGTAAGAATAATTTTTATTATCGATTTGTATGTTTTTTGTTCAATGATTT